GGAGTATTACACAGCTATAAAGAATGATAAGCTCTAAACCTTTATATTTAAGTGGATGCCACTTGAAGATATACTCGTAAGTGAAATAAACCAGACACATGTGTAAATATCGTATAGTTTCCCTAGTATAAGAACTCAGAAGAAATACAAATAGAAAGGTATAATACAACTAAAAGGAAAGCAAGAACTTGAGGACTAAACAATTAAGAGAAGGAAAGGAGAAAAGCTAGGAAACATGACAGTGGCAAGCCATACGGTTGTTAAGTAGAAGATGGGAAAGGCAATGATCCTGAAAACCTTCAGAAAATTTTTCAATCTAGTAGTTAATTGGAAAGATTCTCACCCTGACTAACGCTATATAGTGACACCTGTGAACTAAGCAACTGCACTAAAGATGGCAATTTGTAATAGTAGGTTCACACTTGCAGTGCCTGTCATTCTTGTCTTGAGAATACGGGCTGCTTGTCATGACATGCCAGTTGCTGTCATGCTGTCTCTTGGGTAGATGACTGTTCAAAAAGAAGGGGGTGGTGAATGGAGACAGGAAATGGTGTGTTGCAGGACTGTCCTGCTTCAAGGTTGTATATGGTTAGATTTGTGGAGTTGTGTGTAAACCTAAGAATTATATAATTCTTTATGCCTATTTTTAAAATATATTCTAATTTTTAAATGTTTTTTCATCATATTCTGTAGGGACTTAAAATTTAACATATCAGTACTTGATGAAAAATTACCTGTTCCATGTTATGCCTAAAATGTTTGATATTCAGACAGACAGTGAGGTTAAGCTCAACAGCCAAGGTCGTATGGTAATAACAATAAGTTTCTCTTCTGGAGGGTTAACAACATAAGTTTTCAGACCAAAATTAGAGAAAAAGGAGGGCTGCAAGGAAAGCTGACATTTTGGCCCTAGCCTTTCAAGGTCAATTAAGACTCAGGGCATATGAGAACTTGTACCATAACATTACGTAACTCAGTATGGTCCCAAATTTTATGATCAAGGAGATTATGTGGCCAAAGAGGAAAGTGATCGATGATATAGAGTGTGCCTAAGGAGAGTCACATGGAGAGAAAACATTCTCTCAGGCTTTCACAGAGAACACATTGGCCAAGCAATGGCCATGACTCATCCACATGGCTAATACTGACAAAGGTTCTACAATCTGAGGTACAGGGTCTCAGGATAAATCCTGAGGGTATTTGACTGACCTTATCAGATCCAAAAGCTGCAACTCTTGTTGCATAGGTCTTGCTTTATCTTGATCTTAATCATCCAGCCCAAAAGTATAAAAGTGAATTATAAAAAATAAAGCCATATTAATATGTTGAGCTGTAAAAGCCGCAAGTCAACAACTTCTGACATTGCCAGTCTTATGGAAAACCCACTATTATTATGGACTACTGGACTATATCAGAATATTTTGCTGAATTCATGCACTTATAATATTTAAATGACAATGGAATACCCTTCTCTTATAAAACTAAACCAAAAAGGGGAATACAAATGAACGACCATTTTGTATCTGTATATTCAAAACAGGATAGATATATAGCTACATTCTCTTAATTCAATGAATAGAAAGATTTGTTCTAATAATGTTTGCAAACATGATACCATGTCTGCATCTTGTACAATAAATAACCACTAAGACAACAATATGCAATGTATTAATTATTGAAACTGTCCTAATTGGGTTTGAAACTGTCTCATTGCTATTTGTTTCTCAGGAAAATTATTGAAAAAATATATATCATTTAGTATCAATGGATCAGAGAATAAATTAAAAGTACGTAAAATCAAGTAACAATAGAAGCACAATATACCAAAACCCCTGGGACACAATGAAAGCAGTTCTAAGAGGAAGTTACAGCTGTAAATGTCTACATTTTTTCAAAAACAGAACAATTATAACCTAAAGTTGCATCCCAAGGTACTAGAAAAAAAAAGAGGAATCCAAATTAAAAACTCATAGAAGGCAGGGCTGGGGAGATGGCTCGGGAGAATAAGCGTTTGCCTGGCAAATGCAAGGGCCTGAGTTCAATCCTCGGTTCCAAAAAAAAAAAAAAAAAACTTGTAGAAGGAAATCAATTAAAGGATCAGAGTAAAAACATAATGAAATTGAGCCTAAGAAAATAAATGTCAGTAATCAGAAAGTTGGTTTGAACAAGATTGACAACCCTTAGCAAAACTTACACAAATGAAGGAAAGCCTGAGACCAACGCAATTAGAGATGCAAAGATAAAATCCCAGCAGGCACTGCCAAAGTCCAAAAGACACCAAGAAACTGTCTTGATAAGTTAAAGAATTTAGACAAAATGAATAAACTCCTAGACATATATGGATAAGCAAAACTGAAACAAAAAATGTAAAATCTATTAAAAGAAAAATAACAGGCAGTGAAATAGAGGTAGTAATAAAAACCCTACCATCTAATAAAAGCCCAGGACCTAACAGATTCACCACTGAATTTTACCAGAATGTCAGGATGAACTAATACCAATACTCTTCAAACTTTTCCAAGAAGATGAAAAGAAAGGAGCACTGCCAAACTCATTCCTTGAAGCTAGCATTACCCTATCAAAACTGGACAGGAAATCACACGAAAAAGAAACTACAGGACAATTTCCTCAACAAAAATAAATCTAAAAATCCTTAACAAATACCTGCAAATGGAATAGAATATATCATTAAAAACACTATGTATCAGACCCAGTTGCCTCCTAAAGTTTCTAGGATGACTCAATTACATAAATCAATAAATATAGTACTCCACATATATGAGTGAAGATAAAAACCACATGATTGTCTCAATAAAAGCAGAAAAAGTCTTTGACAAAACCAAACATTCATTCATGATGAAAGCCCTGAAGAAAATAGGCTTATTTCTTTTTATCACAACCAAACAAAAGCCATTTCTGACAAACCCATTGTCAATAGCATACCACATGGGGAAAAGGTAAAAGAATTGTCTCTAAAACACAGAATAAGAAAAAGGTGTACAATCTCATCACTCCTGTCCAATATGGTCTTGAAACTTTAGTCAGAAAATCAGGCAAGAGAAAGAAATAAAAGGGACATAAGTGAGAATAAAAGGAGGTAAGGTATCATGCTTTGAAGATGATATAATCCTTTGCATATGAGATACCCCCCAAAAAAAGAACATCAAAAATCTCTTAGAACTAAAAAGCAAACTTAACAAAGTAGTAGGAAACAAAATCAACACACAAAAATCAGTAGTATTCCTGTACACTGATAACAAACCCACTGATAAATTGAGAAAACAAATGCATTCATAGTAGCTTCAAAACCATTAAATACCCAGGAATTAACCTAACCAAGGAAGTGAAAGACTTCCATAACAAAATTTTTACTACTATAAATAAAAAAAGAGATTGCAGAAGACCTTAGAATATGGAAACATGTCTCTTATTCCTGATTAAGAAAATATTGTCAAAATGGTCTTAATGCGAAAAATAATACATACATTTAATGCATTTCCAATCAAAATGCCAACAACATTCTTCTAGAGTTTGAAAAAACAATCCTAAAAATGTATATGAAATCAGAAGAGATCCAAATATCCCAAAGCAAGGCCAAGAACAAAGCAGAGGATGTTGCAATCCTGGATATCAGGTTATACTACAAAGTGTAGTAACAAAAACAGGATAGTACTGACACAAAAGTAGACACATTGTCCAGTAGAATAGAGCTAAAGACACAACAACGCTATGCACCTTTACCCATCTTATTTTTGACAAAGGGACTAAAAAACATACTCTCAAAGACGACAACATCTTCAACAGGTGTGCTGGGAAAACTGGCTATCCCCGTGAAGAAGGGTGAATCATCTGTATCTCACACTACACTAAGATCAAAATAAAGTGGATCAAAGACTTCGCTCTAAAAGCAGAAACACTGAATCTGCTGAAAGTTAAAATGTGCAACATTCTTAAAGACATAAGTATAAGCAAGAACTTTCTGACTACAGCCCAAATTGCACAAAATGTACAGTAATATCGAGAATCAACAAATCTGACTATATCAACTGAAAATCTCTTAAAAGCACAGAAAACGATGAACAGAGTAAAGAGACAACCTACAAAATGGGAAAAAATTTGCCAGCTACTCCTCAGACAGAGAACCAATATCTAGAGTACATACGAACTCAAAAAGTAGATCCAAAAGATAAAAGACCCAATCAAAACACGGATAACTGAAATGATAGACATTTCTCAAAAAAGCAGTATATGTACCATAAAAGTACACAAATGTTTAGCATCTTTGGCCATCAGAGAAACGCAAATTAAAGCAGCACTAAGATTCTATTTTACTCCAATAAAAATGTCTATCATCAAAGACTCAAAAAAAACCCAAAATGCTCGTGAGGGTATTAGAAAGAACCATCCCACAGTGTTGGAGAGATGTAATCTAGTGCAACCACTATGCAAATAAGTACAGAGATTCCTCAAAATTTATAAAAATCTAAACTCCATTTGACCCAGCTCTTCCTTTTCTGCACGCACATATTACATGACACACGTGTCCCCACCTCACTGCAGCCCAGCTCACAGCAGCGAAGTTACAGAGGTAGCCTGTGTGCCACCAGCGGGTGAACAATAAAGAGAAGGTGGCATTTCTACATCACGGAGTAGTCTCTGCCACAGAGGACACGTTTGAGTCCTTTGTACAAATACAGCATAATCTAAGACTACAATAAATAAGTTAGACATGGAGGGATAAATATCACATAGTTTATCTCACATGAAAAAAAACCCAAAATGTAAATAATTTAAAAAGCAAAATAAAACAGAGATGGTACGAAACAGGGAGGCAGACTGTACAGATAGGAAATGGAGAAGGAAGAGGGGAGCAGAGTGGGCAGGAGAGACGAGAAGGAAAAAGTGACCGAGATTACGTCCACAGAGATCCCCAGACGCGTATACCTGTTACGCGCGGCAGACACACGCCAGCACTCAGCAGAAGCGCGCCTGGACCTTACCTGCCAGGCCGGGGGTGGCAATGTCCGATTCTGCTTCTGGCCCCTCGCCGACCTCGTTCACTGCTGCGATGAAAAACCTATTCAAAAAACAATTTAGAGAAAAGTGCTTCATGTGGTGTGAGCATGAGGCAACAGCAGCAGCCGTAAGGTTTCCATTTTAAGGGTGAGGCGGCCACACGCACAGCTCACTGCCTCCTGCCGCTCCCCAGCACTAACCCACCATCCGGCTCGCCCTTGTGTACACTCCCCAAAGAAAAGCTCAGGTTCCTGAGGTCACCAACCGCATGACTCGCGGTCCTTCCCAACTGAAAGCAGCTCTGGGGAATTCTACACAGCTAACAGTAACAAAATAATCCCAATGGCTAATAAAATACCTCTGACAAAGTTTAACCTAACCTTCTCATGCTGGACCAAGTGAGAAACGGCATGCCTGGTGATTGTGTCTTTACTGGCTCCTATTTATCAAGGATCCACTGAATAAAATAAGACGTGGAGATGCCTCGCTCTCCTTCACTTCCACGTGCACAGGAAAGAGAGAAGCCAGTTCAACCCAATCAGAGCCAGCAAGCAGTCTTCAGAGACATAGCAATTTCCTTTTCTTTTTTCTATTTTAGGGAACGATTTTACAGGGTGTTCAGGGTCTCACTACTAGATCCTACTCATAGTGATCCACCTGTTTATAGCCTCCCAAGAGCTGGGATTATGGGTGCATGCCACCACGCCCAGTTTCAACTGGTGTCTCAGCACACCCTGGGTTGGGGCTGGCACAGCAGGCCCGGGATCGAACCCCCGGCCCCTGCACCTGCTTGCAGGCATTTTAATCCACTGAGCTATTCGGCTGGCCCCTGACATGTCAACTTTTTAAGTGATATTTTAAAACATTTGTAACTATCCTGTCTGCAGCCAGGCTGGCTAAGTGCTCCTCTGCGCCATTTAATTCTTACCTGTAGGTGGTATTTGGCAGAGTAGAATAAAACTGGAAGCTGGTTCTCTGCGTCCCTGAGTCAAGTTTATGACTTCTGCTGATCAGTCGCAAATTGTAACCCAAAATAGGTCCCCCCGGGAACTGGGGTGGAGCCCAGCTGACTTCCACAGTGTCGGGGCTGGAGCTCTCGATATTCCTAATGAGAGGAGCAGTTTCAGGAACTAGAAGAGAAACGAGGGCCTGTGAGCATAAAGACAAGCAGGCTTTAAAGTGGGGCAAAACCTCAGCTTGCGAGAATGCGCAGCGTATCTGATTACAATCAAAAGTGTGATGGGAGACAGCAGGAATCTCTGAGCTGCAATTCTTGACTCTTAAATCATGCTAAATACTAAAGTTTTGCAAAAGATTCTCACAAATGCTATTTCATTCAATTCTAATTTATAGAATAAAATTAATTTTGAAATATATAAAAGGTTAAACATTGCTAAAAAGGGAAAAAGAGTTCTCAAAATCCTAGAGAGCTCAATGAACTGAAAGATGGAACCAGGCTGGGAGAGAGAAGAGAGTGCAGCAAGCTGGGGCCAGTGGCAAATGGTCCCCGCTGGAGACGCAGCTCCAGAGATGCAGAAGGAGGAGGGCCACTGTGCTCTGTGGTCATCAGCCCTGACGACCCAGGAACTCTCTTTCCGCCTACTTGGTGGGCGGCAGCAGCAGCAACCCCAACCCTTGCGGATGAAGGATGAAGGGGCTGGTCACGGAAGTACACTCCCTCCTGAGCCCAGATAAGCACGGATGCGGCAGCCTCTCCCCCACCCACGTGTCCATGCCTCCCTGAAACCACACGCTCTGAGAGCGCCTTGCCCTCCCTCTGAGCTCTGCAGAAAATGCTCTGCAGCTCTCTCCCCTGGCTCCCTGGAGCTGGGAGAGGTGACACCTCAGCCTTCACATGGATGTCTGAAAGGCTGCTTCACAGGACGCCCAGCCTTCTCTACGACAACTGTCCCAAACTCCCAGACTAATCTTTGGCAAGCACCACATCTGTGTCACCCCTTCCTTCCACCATGCTGCTACCTTCATGAAGAGCAAAGGAGGGGTGACCTCCAAGCCATTAGAAGGAAGATGCCCGAGCATAACGTCAGAGTCTGCATGTCTGCGCCCTTTGTGCAAGCTGAAAGCCACCGCCATGGGAAGGTGGGTTTACTGTCCAACGTCTCCAGCAAAGGCTGGTATTCCTTGTCTAGCAACCATTACTCTTGGTTAAGAAATTATCTTCTGAAAGGCTCCAGCTGGAAGGCAACACCTCCTGGAATCACATAAGTCTCATAGCTAGGAGGGAACAGTATTCTAAGGCAGTAACACGCAACAGATGAGTTTTGGGATGTGGCCAGAGAAGGAGGAAAGGGTCTGGAATGCGAAAGGACGTGGGCTTGCGTGTCTAGCACAGAGGCCAGCAGTGGAAAGCAAGATCACTTCCCCATTGGCGCGGCATGCCACTACCACTACAGGACGGTCCAGCGCCGTAGGAGTACATGCAGCACTGAGTAAAACAAGGAAGGATGCACGTGTTTTAGTCTAGCCGGGAATGTTTGAAACATGCCCTAAGCAGGCATCTGGCCTGGGCTCTGAGCACAGGTCATCAAAGACTCCTCCGCAGAAGCGGTCACACAACTCCTAAGACCTAAACAAGCAAGGAAAGCGTACTTCTCAGGGAAAAGGGGGAGATCCCCAAGCAACTTCACCAGGGTCAAGGCACACCCAGTCTGCGCCTCTTTGGCTATGGCCATCTCTCCAGGAGGCGAGGTGGGAGCCAGCCAGCCTGCTGCCACCTGCCTGGTCACCTCGGCCAGCTCTGACACTGGAGATACACACTGCCCCCGCTCCTGAGGGGCTTCTGGGTTTGAGTCCTTTCTATGGTGAAGATGTCACATCTTCAAAACAAGAGATCTCAAGATTCCCCAGTACATATGTTGCTTTTTAAACTTGTCTCTGACAACATGCAAAGCACTACGATAGTCTCCCGGGTGGTCTCTGCGTCAGCACTTTCCAAACCTCTGGTTTCCTCCCTTGATGCTCCGCATGGCTGCCGAGCTTCTCTCTTACAGACCAGGGAAAGCGCTCGCTCCTTTGTGGAGCGAGCGGAGTGAACGGAGTGCTAGCTCCAAGGCCTACATTCAGAGTCCTCAGCAGCGGTCCTGGGCCCAGCCCTTCCTGCACCATCCCTGCTGTTTCTCTGCCTGTATCTCATGCTGGCAGCTGCCAGAAGCCCACTTCTCCCCTCTGTGCCTTAGAGTGGAATCCTTGCAACCCTGCCCATGTGGCCACTGAGAACGGCCCTTTCCCCGCCTATGGCCGCATGAACAATAAAATTCCCTCCAAAGAGATTTCTCTGATGTGATACTGTAGAAATAATACCTCCCTCCTCTGAACTTACCCAGGAGTTTGCCCGTGCCTTTGCTCACAGTGTTTTTAATTGACACCTTATCGCAGGGTTTGGATCCATCATGTACTATAGTACCACTTGACTGCTGAATGTGAAAACACTGGTCTAGGCTATTTCTCTAAGGCTGTAGAATGCAGAAGAGGGAAGCTAAGTGGAAGCTGCACCCTACAGAGCCACATTTGGCATAACGGATGGGAGACAGGAACAGCTGGAGTCCAACAGGAAAGAATCCTCTTCTGCCTGTCCAGTGGTAATGAAATTAGCCTTTAGCCAGCCCCACTCATTCCTTTTTTAATTAATTTTATTGAGAAACAAATAGCAATGAAACAGTTTCAAAACTGATTAGTAGGACAGTTTCAATAATTAATACATTGCATATTGCTGTCTTCATAGTAGTTATCCATAGTATAAGATGCAGACCTGATATCCTGTCTACACACTATTAGTACGGATCTTTCTTCTCATTCAATTAAGAGAAAGTAGCTGCATATCTCTCCTATTTTGTGTATACAGATACAAAATGGTCTTTCATCTGTGTCCCCTTTTTTATTTAGTTTTGTCAGAGAAGGGTATTCCATTGCCATTTAAATATTATAGGTGCATGAATTCAGCAAAATAATCCAATATAGTCCAGTAGTCCATAATAGTAGTGGGTTATCCATAGGACTGGCAATGTCAGAAGTTGCTGACTTGAGCCTTTTACAGCTCAGCATATTAATATGGCTTTACTTTTTATACCTCATGTTTATACTTTTCTGCTGGATGGTTAAGACCAAGAAAAAGCAAGGCCTATATAACAAGAAATGTTAACTTTTGTATCTGGTAATGTCAGTCAAATACCCTCAGGATTTATCCTGTAACCCTGTACTGCAATTTGTACATCTTTTGTCAGTGTCAGCCATGTGGATGACTCACAGCCATTGCTTGACCAATGTGTTCTCTGTGAAAGCCTGAGAGAATGTTTTCTCTCCATGTGACTCTCCTTAGGCACACTCTACATTATCGATCACTTTCCTCTGTGGTCCCATAACCTCCTTGATCAGTAAATTTGGGACACAACTGAGTTACACAATTTTTTTTTTTCCGGAACCAGGGATTGAACTCAGGCCCTTGCACTTGCCAGGGAAGTGCTTATTCTCCAGAGCCATCTCCCTGGCCCCTACAGGATGTTACAGTACCGGTTCTCCTATGTCCTGAGCCTCCACTGACCTTGAAAGGCTAGGGCCAAAATGTTGGCTGTCCTTGCAGTCCTTTTTCTCTAATTTTTGGTCTGTGAACTTAAGTTGTTAACCCTGCAGAAGAGAAGCTTAATGATATTATTACCCTATAACATAGGCAGTTGAGCTTAACCTCACTATTTGTCTGAATATCAAAACATCTTAGACATAACATGGAACAAGTATTTTCCATCAAGTATTGATATATGAAACTTTAAATCCCTGCAGAATGTGAAGAAAAAATAAAAATAAAAAAAAATTTTAAAATCACCCTAATATATGCTGATACCTGTGAATTAAGCAGCTGCACTGAAGGTAGCAATGTGTCATACTAGGGTCTTGCTTGGAATGCCTGTCATTCTGATCTTTTAAATACGTACTGCTTGTCATGTCATACCAGTCACTGCCATACCAGTCACTCTCAAGTAAATGTTTGTTTAAAAAAACAAATGGTAATAAATGAAAACAAGAGACAAGAAAAAAGAAAGTCATATGACTATCCTGCTACAATGCTGTATATGGTTAGATTTCTAAATTTCTGTGCAAAAACATGTAATTGTTTATTCCTACTTTTTAAAGCCCCACTCAGTTGTGAAAGTTTTATCACATGACTTTTAAGACATAAGCTTCAGAATCTGATTGGTGTTCATTGTTGCCTCTTCTCCTTTCTTGCCACCAATCCTGGAGTGTCCCAGGCAAACATCCCGGCCCTGTCCGTGTGCAGCCTACACTCTGCCTGCTTCTCCAGGCCCTGCCCGTGTGCAGCGCACACTCTGCCGGCCTCTCCAGGCCCTGTCCGTGTGCAGCCC